GCCACTGTTATGATTCATTTCTATCCTTAATTTGCAAGTAGCTCTGACCTTGCAAAGGCTGCTTTCCTATTTCGGGTTTCTAGTTACTTCAGGGTTTCCATTTCACTGGTGCCTTCAAAGAGTTTGCAGTGGTGACTTTGGGTTGGTGCCTGTTCTGCCAATTTATCTGGTGTCTGAACCTGGGTTCCAGCCACTGCTCAGGTCTTCTGCTGTTTGCTCTTGGCCTGGTGTTGGCATTCTTTGTTCTGAGCTTCATGCCTTATTCTCAGAGCCCATCTCACTGGCATAGTCAGATAGACCAGAGTGAACTTTCCACTCTGATACTCACTAGCTGGGTAACCTTAGACAAAGGATTTAATCCCAATTTTATCACCTGTAAAATGGGGCTAATAATGCCTGTCTTAAAGGCTTATCTAAAGATTAAATGCAGTTATGTGTTTGTACACATTCAGTATGATGTCTGTCACACAATGGGTGTTCAAATAATGTTTGTTTACTTCTCTGTCTACTTCTCCCTGTGGAATAAATTCTATAATCACTCTGAACTGGTGTCTTAGTCCATTTTGTGCTGCTGAAACAGAATACCTGAGTCTGCATAAGTTATAATGAACAGAAAATTGGCTGATGGTTCTAGAGGCTGGGAAGTCCAAGACTGAGGAGCTGCAACTAGTTGAGGTCTTCTTGCTGCATAATTTCATGGTGGAAGGTGGTGGAGAGGGCAAGAGAGAGCAAGAGGTTGAACTCACAGCCTTGAGCCCTTTTATAATTGGCATTAATCCATTTATGGTGGTGGAGCCCTCATGACCTAAACATCTCCCATTAGGCCCCACCTCCCAACACTGTTGCATTGGGTGTTAAATTACAACCCAAGCTTTCTGAGAGACACATTAAAACCATCGCAACTGATACACTGATCTTTATTTATTTATTTATTTATTTATTTTATTTAGAGATGGAGTCTTGCTCTGTTGCCCAGACTGGAGTGCAGTGGTGCAATCTTGGCTCCCTGCAACCTCCACCTCCTGGGTTCAAGTGATTCTCTCACCTCAGCCTCCCCACTACCTGGGATTACAGGTGCCCACCACCATGCCCGGCTAATTTTTTGTATTTTTAGTAGAGATGGGGTTTCACTATGTTGGCCAGGCTGGTCTCGAACTCCTGACCTCAAGTGATCCACCTGCCTCAGCCCCCCAAAGTGCTGGAATTATAGGCATGAGCTGCCGCACCCTGTGATATGCTGATCTTTAAAAGGGAGAAATAATCTTCCCTACTAGTTATCACAAAATATCTACTCTCCTTGTCTTCATTAGTATTTTGATTTTATTGGTGGGGTAGGAGGAACAGCAATGTACCCAACTAAAGACTATGTCTTCCCACCTCCCTTGCAACTAGGTGTCATCATGGATCTATAGTTTGGTCAACTGTATAAAAAGAAGTGTTTGGTGGTGTTATGGGTTGAATTGCATCCTTGTAAAAAGTTATTTTTAAGTCCTAACCCCCAGTGCCACAGATTGTGACCTTATTTGGAAACAGGACTTTGCAGAGGTAATCAAATTAAAATGGGGTCATTACGGTGGACCCTAATCCCATATGATAAGCATCCTTATTAAAAGGGGAAATTTGGACCCAGAGACAAACACATAGAGAGGGAAGATCATATGAAGACACACAGGGAGAAGACGGCCATGTGACTGGAGTGATGCATTACGAGCCAAGGAATGCCAAGGATTGCCAGCTAACACCACAGGCTAGACGAAGCAAGGAAAGATTCTCTCCTAGAGCCATCAGAGAGAGCATGGCCCTGCCAACTCCCTGACTCCAGACTCCTAGCTTCCATAACTGGAGACAGTACATTTCTGTTATTTTAAGCTACTCGTTTTTGGTACTTTGTTATGGCATCCCTAAGAAATTAATACTGGTGGAATTTTGGGAAGCCTGAATAAAATGATGAACAGGAAAGTATTTTTCAAACTCTCCAGTTTTATGTACTAATAAGGCATTTTTATTATTGCAACGTTTGTGACTATGATTACTCTTGGTTTATGAAGGATAGATTGACTTGGCTAACATGATTCTGACTAGAGATCAGAAGATTTTTATCCTGCTTCTGCTCCATGTTCTTGAAGGCTCAGCACAGCAATCATAGATGCTAAGACAGAGGTAGCATGAGAGACAAGCAGAAGAGAAGCTACCGGCCTTTGGGTTGGAAGTTGGCAGGATGAGTGTGTAACTTTTGCTGAGCTGGGGCCAGAATTCTCAGCCACTGACTGGCAGTCAAGCATAAAGGTTAAAGGTCAGGATTGGCTTGTATTTAAATCTAGTCTTTACCCTTACTTGCTGTGTGATCCTGAGCAAGTTACTGAACTTTTCTGAGCTTTATATTCCTCATTTGTAAAATGAGAACAAATGTGGCTCCTATGACATAGGGTTGTCATGGAGTTTCAGTGACATCACATAACAATCAGGGAAAAAAGAAAAAGCCACAGCCTATCTGTACTCAGTCCAGGGTGCAGATTTTTCTGCTCTGATTACTTACCCTTGATAGACTCCAAATGGACAGACTGGATTCTGGTTCGTTTCTTCTTACCTCTATTGATTCATTCAGTAAACATATTGAATGTACCTATTATGTGCCTACTAGGTGATGAAAAAAGCCGGTAGGGCAGACCCAGACCATGACATCCAAATGCAGCCAGCTCAAAGAATGATTAAACTAAAAGTAGAGCCAAAGTTATTCAGGTGCTCCTCTCCTCTCAGTCTAATGTTTAAAGGTTTCTGCCATGGCCATCCTAATCTACCCTTCCTGATTGGTAGATACTTGTGCTCATACTGTGTTGCAAATGACTACTAATCTCAAAGAAAGGGCCTACAAATGACTGTCCTATAAAGCTGCCTCCTGAAATGCTGCTCCTATGCATAGAAAACAAGAAGGTTCCAGGCAGAAGGGCCCAGAGAAATCAGTCTGAAACCTCTCAGTTCACAGGGGGAAATCAAGCCAGGCAGAAGTGACCCAGATCCAATTAGGGTGACTCAGCCAAGGACACCCAGCCATTATATGTCCCAGCTGGGTAGGCAGCAGAAAATGGCTCTCCCTGCCTCTGGTCCCTGCCCTGCACCATCGGTGTACTGAGCATGTTCTAACTAGGTTGTGCAGAGTGTCCTAGGGAGACACTAAGGCAGGACAAGAAGTGCCACTGATTAAAAAGAAAGTCACTGGGCACAGTGGCTCACGCCTGTAATCCCAGCACTTTGGGAGGCTGAGGCAGGCAGATTGCTAGAGCTCAGGAGTTTGAAACCAACCTGGGCAACATGGCGAAACCCTGTCTCTACAAAAAATACAAAAATCAGCATGGCATGGTGGCATGCACCTGTAGTCCCAGCTACTTGGGAGGCTGAGGTTGGAGGATCACTTGAGCCTGAGAGGTGGAGGTTTCAGTGAGCTGAGGTCATGTAACTGCACTCCAGCCTGGGTGACACAGCCAAACCTTGTCTCAAAAGAGAAAAAAAAAAAAAGCCCATAGCCTAGCAGGGGACATGAAGACACGGTAGACCAAAACCCCTTTGGCTTCATTGATTTGAAATGCTGCCTTCATTGTGTACCAATCTCCAATGTATACAGGACTGCTGTAGACTCTGTTGTTTTACCACTGTCTCTTCCTGCTCCAGCACCATACTGTTTTAAAGACTGTAGTTTTGGCCAGGCGCGGTGGCTCACGCCTATAATCCCAGCACTTTGGGAGGCCGAGACGGGTAGATTACTGGAGGTCAGGAGTTCAAGACCACCCTGGCCAACATGGTGAAACCCCATCTCTATTAAAAATACAAAATTAGCTGGGTTTGGTGGCATGCGCCTATAATCCCAGTTACTTGGGAGGCTGAGGCAGGAGAATCGGTCGAACCCAGGAGGCAGAGTTTGCAGTGAGCTGAGATCGCACCATTGCACTCCAGCCTGGGCAAAAAGAGTGAAACTCCATCTCAAAAAAAAAAAAAAAAAAAAAAAAAAAAGGACTACAGCATTATTTAAAAATTTTTGATATGATAAAGGAAGCCCTTTTTTTTTAATTTTCCAAGAATGTCCTGACTCTTCTTGTATGCTTACATTTCCAGATGAACTTTTGAGTCAGCTTTTGAGTAACAGCTATTGAATCTTCTTCAGCACTCTTGTCTGTGCCATGCTCCAGGCACTTGAGTAGGGTATTCAGTCCTTGCCCTTGGGAAATCACAAACTAGGTGCAAAGTGTAACCAACCAAGAAGTGTAAAATAGCAACACGAATCTCACACTATGGGTAACAAGAACTAAATGAGTGAGGGGTCCAGACAGACTAAGTGCTGTGTTCCTTGGGGCCAGGCAGGTCATGGAAGGTTCAACAGAGGTGACATTATATAGGACTTTGATGGGTGAGCAGCAACTTGCCGGTATAAAATAAATGCTTTGAGTTGAGGAAGTCCGGGAAAGCTTCTTGAAGAAGGAGACACATTTCTCTTGAGAGGCGAGTAAGAGTTTGCCGGGTTCAGAGGATGTGATAAAGGGAGGGATTGCCTTGAACTGGGAAAGTCACAAAAAGGTTCTCTGAAGACATTTTAGATGCCTTTTGAGTTGGAGTCGGGAAGATGCCTGGAAGAGACAATTAAATAAAAAGAATTTTATTACAAAAGTAATACAAGGACATGTCATTTGAACCGGGTTTCGAGAGATGAGTGAGCAGTTCCTGCGGCAGACAAGAGCGGTACCACGAAGTAAGTTGAGGCAGACGCAGAAAAGGCTTCCCGGTCCCGCTCACTCTTTAAGACCTAAGATGCAAGGGTGTAAGTGTCCCACCCGTGTGGCTGCGCCCTGTAGTTCCGATTTCCCAGCGTGGGTTAGTCACCGCCAGGTCTCCGAGGGAGAAGACTGCGGCACGGGCGGGCAGAGCTGAGTGCTTTATGTCGGAATCGACCAATGGGATGGCGGCACCCGGTTGCCAGGGCTACGGCCAAGCGGAGGCAGGGCCTCGGCGCCATGGGCGGGGCCTGGCTGGGGTTATATAAGCGCGCTGCGGGCGGAAGGCTGGGCGTGGGGGTCGGTGGCTGCTGGGCGGGCAGGGCGCAGGCCGCGGGACCCGATCCCGGGGGAGCGAGAGAGCGGAGGCGCCGAGGAGCCGATTCACTCGCTGGGGAGACTTATGGGCCGAAGCCGTGTAAATGCGTTTTAAGGCGAGTGCGGAAAGTGGCCTGGGGAGCCTCGGGGAGCGGACGCCCTCCGCTCTGGTGCTGACCTGCCCCCCGGCCCCTTCTGCCTCCTGTCAGCAGGGGCCTCGGCTCCGCAACTGCCACTCCTCCTCGGGGTGTTGCACAAGTTCCGAGGTCACCGGCGACCCCCCCTAGCAGCGCGCCTGGCTCTGGCCCCCGCGAAGGAGGACGGAGCTTGGTAAGGGGCCCTGGGGGATGGGGGGACCTCGGCCCTGCACTCGGTAGGAGTCACTGCACGCGGTAGGAGTCACTCGGACAGAAAAAACCTTGGCCTTCCGTTCAGTCCCAGGAGCTTGCGGCCCCCACCCACCACGTGGCGCCCCCAGGCACGCCTAGAATTCTAGCATGTCAGAATCAGTCCAGCCCCCATTTACAGTTGGGGAAAGTGAGGCTCCGAAGAGGGTCAGAGGGTACCCGAGGTCAAGCAGTAGAGAGCGGACTCGAACTTAAGCTCTTACTCTCAGGCTGAGACTCCTTGGCGTGGCCACCGGCTACCCTCTGGGTGGGCGTGGTCAAGACTGGGGGCGCCCTGGAAACTTCCCCACCCAAGTTTCTCAGATTTTCTGTTCCATCTCTCTTTCACTGTTTCCTGAAATCCAGAATTTCAGAACTGAGAAGGCTCTCCAAAACAATTCATCCATTTTACTGGTGGGGCAACTGACTCGGAGAGGCAGTGACATTTGGACATACAGTGCCTTGTCTCCGTTTGAAATCCGGGATTCTTTATTTTCTCCACCCTTGCCTAATGAACCCCGGGCTTGTGCTGGGGGCGGGTTGTGACGGGATTGGGTTCCCTGGCCTGGGGAGGTGAGTGGGGCAGCGGAGCTGGCCCCCCAGCTGTTCCCTTCATCTCCCCCCGCCCCGCAGTGTGTTGCATACTTTCTAAGGCGGCGGCTGCAGCAGCGGCTCCATCCAGCCCGTCAGCTCCTCCTGCAAGGCATGGCTGGCTACCTGAGTGAATCGGACTTTGTGATGGTGGAGGAGGGCTTCAGTACCCGAGACCTGCTGAAGGAACTCACTCTGGGGGCCTCAGAGGCCACCACGGTGAGGGGCTGGGAATGGGGGTGGGTCCCCGTCCCCTGTACAGATCAGCTGCCTTCTCAGGAAGGGTCCCTAGGGCCCTCATCTTATCCTTTCACTTATTTGGTACGCAATCCTTGCTATTTGCAAGAGAGGGGCTCAATTTATCCCCAATTCTTGGTCCTTGCCCCCAAACCTCCCCTCCTATGTTGCCTTTCTACCCAGTCCTCCAAGGTCAGAAACCGGCGATTCCTGTCCTGCTGCCCCCTCTCCCTCACCGCCCACATCTAGGCATTACCAAGCCCTGTGAATTCTGCCTCCTTAAATAACCCTCCAATGTGCTTATGTGGAACCTCATTTTCTAGCTTAGTCTTCCTCTCTCCAAAGGCCCCCTGATCTCCTCCCTGTCTCATGCCACCCCCTCCAAATGTATCATAGTCCTGTTCAATATCAGAATTTGGCATTTCCCCACTGCCTACAGGATCAAGTCAGAGCTTCCCTGCCTCCATAGCCCCATTCCCAGTTTTCCCCACTCCCAGTTTTCCCCACAGTATATATTATGCTCCTTCAAGCTGAATGACTAATTTTGCGTTTCCCAATGATGCCGTGTGCCCTATTACCATGCCTTTGCCCAGGCTATTCCTTCTGCCTGTAGCATCCTTCTCTCGGCCTTTCCCCTCTTTAGCCCTTTCTAGTCATTCCTTGCTTCTCATCAGTGTTGCCTTTTCCTGATCGCCCCAGGCAGATTTTCTATTTTCTTTCTCCATGCCCCCGCACTGCACCTTGTAGAAACTGCCATCTAACATCTACTGAGTGGACTCGTAAGTACTTAAGGGGTTCCTTTTCTTCCAGACCCAAGCTCCTTCAGAGCAACAGTACTGTTTGGTCATCTCTGTCTCTTAGCATAATGTTTGGCACCAACTGGGCATGAGTAAAAAAGTGTTGCATGAAAGGGAAACTGAGTCTCAGGGAAGGAACTCTGGAAGGGTCCCTTCCACATTTAAGTAATGTGGTCTCACCCACAGCCTCATACATGTTTGGCCTTTAGCACATCTGCAATGAACAGTTGTCCATAGGCATCGGTTGCAGTGTCAGTGGGATGAGCTTAAGGCTTCATCGAACACCTGTGTTTGGAAGGCAATGAGCTGTAGGTCACAGCTTCTGCCTTTAGGGAATTTACCCTTTTCTAGAATGGATGGATGCATATGCAGTTCTGATACCTTGGAAGCACGTGCAAATGCTGTGGGAGCATCTAAAAGCAGAGTTGCCTTATTGGTTTGGGGAAGGTGGCATTTGAGTGAAACTTTAAGGATTTTGCCAGACACAGGAGTGGGAATGGTATTCTGCAGAGGTCATGGTGGGAACAAAGGTTTGAACGTGGGAAAATGATCCAACCTACAGCTGGAGTTTTAGCCACATTGAGGGGAGGGGTTGGGGCTAGATCACAGAGCCTTGAATGCCAGACTGAGGAGTTTGCCTTCTGTCGTGTAGGCTTGGGGAGGCCCAGAACACTTTACAGCAGGGTAGCTCTGTGGCCAGAACTGAACCTGGGTCAGGTACTTGGAAGGATCATGGATGGCATGCACAGGATGGGAGCTGGATGGGGTCTCATATTCATCCACTTCTTGTCATTCAGGACGAGGTCGCTGCCTTCTTCGTGGCTGACCTGGGTGCCATAGTGAGGAAGCACTTTTGCTTTCTGAAGTGCCTGCCACGAGTCCGGCCCTTTTACGCTGTCAAGTGCAACAGCAGCCCAGGTGTGCTGAAGGTTCTGGCCCAGCTGGGGCTGGGCTTCAGCTGTGCCAACAAGGTGAGCCCCGCCCCCACGGTGCACTGACCCTCCATGCCCACTCAACACACACATGGCCAGGCTAGTGCAGGTGGGCTCTGGGGAGCAAGAGGTACCTGCAGTTGGTCCTTGCCCTCTGGGAAGACCACCCACTCAGGAGGGGTCTCAAGGGATGAGGGAGGGAGAAACGAGCATGGAATTTGTCAGCCTTGAAGTTCCAGATTGGAATCTTCTGCGTCCCTGGTAGAAAGCTCATCTTTTTAATGGAGATTTGCAAATTTGTTTGGCACAGAGCTATACATGATGTTCTTCTAATTAAAACAAAACCAACATATCTCCATATTGTTGGTTTCTTTTCTTTTTCCTTTTATAATCATAATAATGTATGATGGTGCATTTTCTTAACTAGTCCTTGTAGTTTTGTTGTTGCCACCAATTCTGTCTTTCTAATTTGATTTCTGCCATTGTCTTCATTCCCTCCTGCTCTCTTTAGATTTATTTTTTTCATTTTTTGAGACGGAGTCTTGCTGTCACCCAGGCTGGAGTGCAGTGGTGCCATCTTGGCTCACTGCAACCTTCACCTCCCGAGTTCAAGCAATTCTCCTGCCCTCAGCCTCCCAAGTAGCTGGGATTACAGGCATGCACCACCACACACGGCTAATTTTTTGGTATTTTCAGTAGAGACTGGCTTTCAGCATGTTGGCCAGGCTGATCTCAAACTCCTGACCTCAGGTGATCCACCTGCCTCGGCCTCCCAAAGTGCTGGGTTTACAGGCGTGAGCCACCGCGCATGGCCACTTTAGATTAACTTTGCTTATCTACTGTCGTTCAGTATCCACTGAACTCCTATAATGTGGTAGTCACTGTGCTAGGCAGGGCTAGCAATACAGAATTGATAGACTGCTGTCCTTGAGTTGAATGCTTAGTTTATTTCCATTCTGTCCTTGCTAGATAAGAGCCTTTAAGCTATAAAGTTTCAACTAAGTAGAGCTTTGAAAGTATCTCATTTATTAATTCAGCAAATATTAATTGGGCATTTCCTCTGAGGCCAAGTGCTATTCTAGGTGGGGATTTGGCAGTGAGCAAAATAAAACAACAAAAGCCCTTCCTTCATGGAGCTTGTTTACAAAAAAAACCAGATTAAATAATGAAAATATGTAGTATTTTAGATGGAAAACGCTGTAGAGAGAAAGCAGGAAAGGGAAGTAAGGAATATTGGGAGAGAGGATTGTACTTTTAGATAGTTTGACCAGGGAAGGGTTCACTGAGACTTGAATACAGACCCAAAAGAGCCAACGGATCAAGCCAGGTGGATAACCAGGGAAAGGGCATTTCAGGCAGCAGGAACAGCAAGCGCAGAGGCCCTGAGGTGGGAGCAAGTCCAGTGGGCACTGGTTTGTGATAGTGTCCTTAGCACCATTTTCTTGGTGGTTAGTAATGGTTGCCTAATATGGCTGGATGTTGTGAGAAGAGTTCTAGAAAGGACTCCTGGAGTCCTGGGCAGGATGACAGGGCTGGAGCGACTCCAGGTTGGGGAGAGGTGTGCATTTGGCGGGGATGGTTAGAACGAGCAGGTTAACCTGTATCAGGGACCGAATGTTAACGCCTTTCATGGTAGATGAGGTGCTTCCCCTTGTCTTTGGTTTAGTTCAAGCTCTGCACACCTCGTTTTGTGCATGTCTTCCATGAAGCTCTGTGAGGCACACAGCGGGAGAGACGGCTGTTCTACAGTTGAGGAAACTGTGGGGCCAGCCGTCTGTGGGTAGCAGAGCCAGGACATGCACGCTTCCCATTTCTTCCTACAGTGCCCTGGGCCTCCACGTGGGATGAGAAGGAGCAGGATCCTTTCAGTCCCTGAGGTCTAGGGTGAACAACAGGACCAAACCCCACTGCCTAGTTTTCTGCTTCAGGAACCCCAGGGGGAGGGGCTCAGTTCTCTAGAAGAAAGGGCAGAGTGGAGTGTTAAGGCTCAGGGAGACCTTGATGACAACAGGGACTGGAGAAGCATCTGCCCTTTGCTGAGTGCGTCTGTTGTGTCAGGCACTTTGCCAACTGTTTTCTGTACATGATCTCATTTTACTCTCGCAACAGCCCTGTGAGGTAATTATTATTTTTTAAATGGGGATTCTGACCGTAGCCTGGTGAGGACACATTTAACGTATAAGGAAATGAGAGATGGAGGTTCCGTACCAGGGTGGTGGCAGCTTGAGTCCTGCTGAGTTGCCTTGGACTCTGTCTTTTCCAAGGTCGCTAAGGAGAGGATAGTTGAGCTGGGATTCAGCCAGCGATGGATGCCCTCAGCCAACTGCAGGGGCAAGGAGAGACCTAAGCCCCCTCCCTGCGATGGGATCACGCAGACCTTTTGGTGCACTTCTGGAGAGGTGGCTCCTGGACTTAACAGCTTTTCTTGGAAGGCCAAGGCTGCCCTCTTCTGGTCGGCCATAGCAGGTGGCCATGCTTAACAGCGTTGTGCCTTAGTGGACACTGACCAAGGGCCTGGCATAAGCTAGGGCTGGATGTGCAGACAGGCACGCATTGGACAGGTGCCGGGGCCACGGCTTGCTCAGGGACTCTGGTCTACCTATGCCATCTGCCCGAGGACCACTGTGTCATCTTCCCTGCCCCCATCCCTTGCCCTCCCTTTCTGTCTCCCTCAGTATCTTCCCATCTTAAAAAGGCTTTGCTGGACACCACATCCTCTTCCAGCCCAATCCCTTGCTCTCTTTTGGTGACCAAACTCAACCGAGTTGTCTGCAGTCACCTGTCCGCCCCCATTTTTTCTTTCCTTCAGCACTCCTTCCTTAAGCCATTGCTTCTCAGCCTCCACTTTCACTACTCCAAAGAATTTTCTCTTACCAACATCCCCAGTGATCCGCAGGATCCAGTGAGCACTTTACTTTAAACATGGATTGTCAACTAATAATACATATCAAATAACACATTGATTCATTCACCCCAAAATAAACTAGGACATCAGCTTTATGTCTCCATAGATAATCACCAGCATGGTTTTGGTGGATATGTAGTATTTTTTTTTTTTTTTTGAGATGGAGTCTTGCTCTGTCTCTCAGGCTGGAGTGCAGTGGCATGATCTTTGCTCACTGCAACCTCTGCCTCCCAGGTTCAAGCAATTCTCCTGCCTCAGCCTCCCGAGCAGCTGGGATTACAGGTGCCCGCCACCACGCCCAGCTACTTTTTTGTTTCTTTAGTAGAGACGGGGTTTTACCATGTTGGCCAGGCTGGTCTTGAACTCCTGACCTCATGATCCACCTGCCTCGGCCTCCCAAAGTGCTGGGACTACAGGCGTGAGCCACCGCACCTGGCCAGCAAGGTGTTCTTTAAAAAAAAAAAAGACTCAACAGTAACATATGGTCCTACTTTTAAAGGCTTCAGAAGTGTATAAGATGAAAGAGAACACGGCTTCGACCCCACCTCATCAGGCACTTCTTACAGCTGAGACAGCTCCTTCCCATCCAGACACAAGCTGTGAGACAAGATTTGCATTTACAGGAATAGCTTTCTAATCTGCATATTGTTCTTCATCCCCTGGAAACGTTCTCCATCCTCACCTCTGCAGGTCCTGGGCACCATCTCTCCTCGTCTTCTGCCACTCTCTAAATGGTAGCATTCTTCTGAATTCTTAGACCTCCCTGTCTTGTAAACCCTCCTTCTTCTCAGAAGAAGAAGGGTTATCTCCTCCCATGGCTTTAAATACCATCAATATGCCACTGCTTCCCACATTTTAATCTCCAGCTCAGACCTATATATCCAGTTGACTTGATACGAGGAGATGCCTGGAACCTGGCGTGTTCAAATGCACTCCTGATGTCCCCCTTCCCCCTCCTGAAGGGCCCCCTCAGTCTGCTGGGTGTGGGAGTTCCCTCTGACGTCCTCCTCCTCACCACCACGTGCAATCTGTCACCCAGCTTGCCAGCCCTGCCTCCAGAACACATCTGCCCGCTTTTCTGGAGCTGGCTCTGTCATCTCCCCCAGGGCGATGGTGATAGCCACTGACCATCACAGTCTATTCCTCCAGAATCCCCTTGGGCCCTCCCTCAGGTAGCCAGATAGGCATTGTAGACGTTGTATTTAAAATGCAAATCTGACATGTCATTTCCCTTCCTAACCCTTTAGACTCTTTCCCATCATATACAGGGTAAAACATGTTTCCTTGGCAGCTCTGCCCCCCTCCCTCTGACCTCATTGTCCTCACTGTGCTAACTTGCTCTGCTCGAGCCACTCCAGCATTCTCTGTTCCTTGATCAGGCTGAAGTGCTCGGCACCGCTTGCCTCAGAACCTCTGCACAGGCCACTTCCTCTGTTGGAAACATTCTTAGATTCTTTCCTTCCCTCTTGGCTTGGCTGAGGCCTCCTGCAGGGCTCAGTTTAAATATCTGAGCCTGAGGTTGTCCTTTGCCCCTCACACCCAGGTCTCTTGCAGCACGTACTTTTTCTTCCCAGCTCTTAACCACTTGTAATTCCATCATTATTTGGTGCTCATTTGGGACTGCCATGCCTGTCTTCCCCACCAGCCTGAAAGCTCCATGGTCTCAGAAAGCCTCTGTGCTTTAGTCACCACTTGTTTTATTAACACCTATCACAGAGCCTGGCAACTCAACAGATGCTCAGAAGATACCCGTCAGTGCAGCATTGAGGTTGCATTTCCCGTTCTAGCAGTGAGGTTAAGAGCTGGTGTGCTAAGGGCTGACAGTTAGAATCCCATCTGTGCCACTTAAAAGCTGTGTGACTTTGGACAAATCACTTAACCTCCCTGAACCTCTGTTCCCTACCTTATAAGATTATTAGTAAGGTTAAATGAGAATGTATATAAAATACTTAATGCAGTGACTGGCACAGGATATGCCTACAGTGAATGACAACACTTATTTAAATATTTATAATTAGGCTGAGTGCCATGGCTCACACCTGTAATCCCAGCACTTTGGGAGGCCAAGGCAGGAGGACTGCTTGAGCCCAGGAGTTGCCCAGCCTGGGCGACGTAGTGAGACCCTGTCTCTATTTAAAACATATATATGTTTTTAAAAATTTAAAGAATTATAATCAAAGCTCAATCACAGGTCCCCAAAGTGCTAACACTGCTTCTTCCTCTCACATCATGTGGTGAGGCAGGGAACAAAAACGCAGGTCCACATCCACTCAGATTCGGGGTGGGCCACATCTGCCCCTGGGAAGCAAGCTGTGGTGGCAGCAAGCCCAGCTCTGGAGCTTGACCTTTGTGTGCCACTCTGCTACTGATTGACTGTGTCACCACAGACAGGTGGACCTCGCTGAACTCAATTTCGTCCTCCATAAAATGTAGCCAGTAAATATTTCATGGCATAGTCGTTGGGATTAAATGAAATAGTGCTTATAAATATCTAGTGCTGAAAAGTTGCTAAATTAAAATTAGACTCTTATTACGAAATGAGAATGGCTAAAAATGACTCTTATGCCTCTCACCATGTTTCAAAACTGGCTCTCTCTTCTCTTGTTTATTCGTGGAGAGTCAGACTTGAATTCGAAAATTCATTCTGCCACCTATTTGCTGCATAGCCTTTCTGAGCATCAGTTTCCGTCTCTGTAGATTGGAGCTAATACCCATCTGAATGGGTTCTTTCCAAGGACAGAATAAAAGGGTGAATCCAAAGTAGGGGTTGGCAAACTATGGACAGAGGGCCAAATCCAGCCCCCAACCTGATTTTATGAAGTTTTATTGGCTCACAGCCACATTCATTCAATTATGCTTTGGCTGTGGCTGTTCTGGTGCTACAAAGGCAGTTGAGAAGTTGTGACAGAGACTGTGTGGCTCGCGAAGCCTAAAATATTTACTCTGGTTCTTTATAGAAAAAGTATGCTAACACCCGATGTAAAACATCTAATTCAGGGCCTGCTTGTGGCAGGTGCTGAATGAACACAGTTGCTGTCATCATCATCATGATCTTCATCATCGTCATCATCATCATTTGTTCGTATCATTAATGCAGCAATCAGGTGCACCCATGTTCTGCAAAGGGGATGAGGAGGAGCCCCCAAGAGGAGCAGGGCTGAGCCAGCACACCCTGCACACTCAGCACAGGGCTGTGCACAGAGTAGGCCTTTGGAGTGGGGTGATCTCTGTCCAAAAGACCCTTGGTCTGGTGGACTTCCTAATACACCAGCAACATATTTATTATTTATTAAGTTGACAAATAAAAAATAAAAATGGTACATATTTATGGTGTACAACATGATGTTTTGATATATGTACGTGTTGTGGAATGGTTAACAAGCTAATTAGGCATTCACTCACATACTTACCTTTTTTTGGTGGGGAGAACCCCTAAGGTCTATTCTCTTAGCAATTTCCAAGTGTACCATATGTTGTTATTAACTATAGTCACCACGATGCACATTAGATCTCTTGAGCTTAATTTTCCTGACTAAAACTTTGTATCCTGTGACCAACTTCTTCCCACTGCCCCTTCGCCATCGACCCCAGCCATCGACCCCAACTACCATTCTAGGCTGCTTCTCTGAGTTTGACATTTTTAGATTCCACATATAAGTGAGGTCATACATGTTTGTCTTTCTGTGCCTGGCTTATTTCACTTAACATGATGTCCTTCAGGCTCATCCATATTGCCGTGAATGACAGGATTTCCTGCGTTTTTAAGGTTGAATAATATTCCATTGTGTATGTGGATCACATTTTCTTTATCTGTTCATCTGTGATGGACACTTAGGTGGCTTGCATATCTTGGCGATTTTGGATAATGCTGCACTGAACATGGGAGTGTAGATATATCTCCTCTACACATTGATTTCCTTTCCTTTGGATGTATAACCAGTACTGGATTGCTGGATCATACGGTAGTTGGTAATTCTATTTTTTGAGATGGAGTCTGGCTCTGTCACCCAGGCTAGAGTGCAGTGGCGCAATCTTGGCTCACTCCAGCCTCCACCTGCTGGGTTCAAGTGATTCTCCTGCCTCAGCCTCCTGAGTAGCTGGAACTACAGGCATGCACTACCATGCCTGGCTGATTTTTTGTATTTTTAGTAGAGATAGGGTTTCACCATGTTTCCCAGACTGGTCTCAAGCTCCTGGCCTCTAGTGATCTGCCCGCCTTGGCCTCTGAAAGTGTTGGGGTTACAGGCGTGAGCCACTGTGCCCTGTCCTATTTTTAGGTTTTTTTGAGGAACCTCCATACTGTTTTCCAAGTAATATTTAAACATTTAAATTTGCCAGAAAAATGTGTCAGAAGCCTGTTGTCAGGGCTACCATGAGTCCATATAACGCCTTTGTGAAAATTAGAAAACGTACCCTTAAGACACTTAATCGTTATAATAAATATACTGATTTTCTTAGAATGAGATGCTTTACTGCCAGGAAGTTGTAATAAATATACAAATCTACTCTGTATTTATTCTCAATGGGACCGCCCATCCCCCAGGATTGTGCAGTGCACCACCTGCATGGCTGTACATGGCAGCCCCGCTTATCAAAAACGGTGAATCCATGTAACTCCTGATTTCTATGTATCTGTTGTCTTAGAGCAAGACCCACCTGTTACGGGCCTCCCTATGCATAGCTATGACTTTGCCCTCATCTGTGCTTCTTTGGGTTCCATGGGCCAGCAGGCTCTGGTGCCTCCTTACCACCACCTTTGGGGCCCCATAGGCAGAGATGGAGTTGGTCCAGCATATTGGAGTCCCTGCCAGTAAGATCATCTACGCCAACCCCTGTAAGCAAATTGCACAGATCAAATATGCTGCCAAGCATGGGATCCAGCTGCTGAGCTTTGACAATGAGATGGAGCTGGCAAAGGTGGTAAAGAGCCACCCCAGTGCCAAGTAAGCTGAGAACCACTCATGGGGAGGCTGGGCTGTGGGGAAGCTGGGCTGTGGGGAGGCTGGGCTGTGGGGAGGCTGGGCTGGGGAGGCTGGGCCGAGGGGAGGCTGGGCTGTGGGAAGGCTGGGCTGTGGAGTGAGGGTGGGGGTGGGGTGAGGGGGTGGAGCTGGGGCAGGTCACCCTGTCCTGGACCCAGTCACAGTTGCAGGAGGTTGGGGTAGGTTCTCCTGGACTGAACCCAGGATGCTAGGGTCTAGCTGGAACAAAGGCAGAAATAACTGGTTAAAGCCCCAGGTGGAGTGAGACCCATGTGTTATGGAAGCCAAAGTCACAGGCTTGAGAGAGTTGAGGGAGTGGTCAGGAAAGCTTCAAGAAGCAAGTGGCATTTGAAGCGGGCCTTGAGGAATGAATAGAATTTGGAAAGGGCATAAAAGTGAACTGCATAAGCAAATGCACTGAGGTTGGAAACAGCATGGGGCATTTAAGAGTAAGCAGAAACTTAGTGTGGCTGCAGCATGCTATGTGCAGGGGGTGAAGGAGATCCTGGTCGGGGGTGGGGACCCGATGCAAATGGACTTTCGAAGGGGTCAGTGCTGGACGTTTTGCTCTGACTGTGCCTTTTACACGGTTACTGGACACCCTTGGACTTCCCAGGAGGGGCCTTCGGGTGAAAGGTTGGGGGGCAGGTGATGGGCCACTGTAGTCCATCCAAAGCAGCTTCCATCGTGTTAATGGGTCCTCCTTAAGGCTTTGTTTAAAAATGGTTCCTCTCATACATGACAAGTTTGAAAGCTCTGACTGGTGTGGAGACTGATTTGGAGGGACTGGAGCTGCCCCAGGAGAGTTGGTGAGGTCTGGACAAGGGCAGGGGCTGCAGGAATGGGTCCAGGGACATTTAAGGAATGGATTGGATAGGACTTGAAGGTTGATTGGCTGTGTAGGGAGAGGGAGGGGTCAGGGAGCCTGTGGGGTTGGGTGGCTCTGAGCCATGTAGCTCATAGCCCTTGATTGAGAGATGTGGCTGGGGCGGGGTGACAGGGTTTGTCCAGCAGAGGGGCACTGCGTGTCTCATCAGGATGGTTCTGTGCATTGCTACTGATGACTCCCACTCCCTGAGCCGCCTGAGCCTGAAGTTTGGAGTGTCACTGAAATCCTGCAGACACCTGCTTGAAAATGCCAAGAAGAGCCATGTGGAGGTGGTGGGTGTGAGGTGAGCACTGGGAACCCCTGCCATCCCCTCCCACACTAGGCTCCCTGCCTCTTTCCCAGGAATTAATTCTGTAAGAGACCTTCCCCAGGGCCTCCCAGCAGGGCCTGTCCCTGGGCCTGGAATTCTGCCATTTGAGAATTTCCTCTGTTTGAAAAGGAGGTTTGGAATGGTCCCTTCCCCAGCCCCAGGGTCCCCAGAAGGTCTTGTCCTAGGAAGTTCCATCCAGGGACCTGGCTTTGAGGGAGTTTTACCAGCCTGTAGGACAAAGGTTTTGCAGCTGCACTCTTGAGGGGCTCGTTTTCTTTTCTTTTTCTTTTCTTTTTTTTTTTGAGATAGGGTCTCACTCTGTCACCTAGGCAGGCTGGAGTGCAGTGGCATGATCATGGGTTTCTGCAGCCTTGACCTCCTAGGCTCAAGCAATTCTCTCTCCCGCTTCAGCCTCCCAATTAGCTGTGACCACAGGCATGTGTTACCACACCTGACTAATTTTTATTTGTAGAGATGGGGGCTCACTCTATTGCTCAGGCTGGTCTCAAACTCCTGGGCTCAAGCAATCCTCTTGCCTTGGCCTCCAAAAGTTCTGGGATTACAGGTGTGAGCCACTGCACCCAGCTGTGTGCCTCTTTTCTTACAGGGATATGGAAGGGGTAATAATGAACTACCTAATGAACAATGAACTACCTAATATAGGACTTTGTTTATTCTGTACTTAGGATGTGCCAGCTGCTGTGCTAAGTGCTTCATGCACATTATCTCTCAGCTTTGTGTGGTGTGGGTCTTGTCTCCGCATTATAGGTGGGGAAACTAAAACAAAGCTGAGTAAGCTGCCAAGGCCACCCTGCTGACTGGGAGGCACAGCCAGATCTGGTTGACTTGGGGGTCCTGGCTCTCATCCCAGAAGGAGGGATGGGAGGAGCACCAAGTGCCAGGAGACCTTGGATCGAGCCTCCTGTCCACTCCTCCCTTGCCATATGGCCCTTGGCAACTCATTTAACATTTCAGGCCCTTAGTCACTGCATCTGTAAAATGGGCATACTGTCTCATGTGCCTGCCCAACGTCACTCTTGGCTGGGGCTCAGGTGGTGGCACTTGGAGCCCTGCATGTCAGCCGAGGCTCTTCCTCTCTTCCCAGTTTTCACATTGGCAGTGGCTGTCCTGACCCTCAGGCCTATGCTCAGTCCATCGCAGATGTCCGGCTCGTGTTTGAAATGGGCACCGAGCTGGGTCACAAGATGCACGTTCTGGACCTTGGTGGCGGCTTCCCTGGCACAGAAGGGGCCAAAGTGAGATTTGAGGAGGTAACCCTGGAGCTGGGAGTGTCGTGCTGGGCTCTATGGTGGGGGAGGGGGATATGGAGGGATTAGATGATCGGAGGGAGACCACTGTGCGTGGGTCCTATGCACTGCATGCCGTGCTTGGTGCTTACCTGGGTGATCTCACTGCTTATTAACCCTGTGCTACAGCTGAGCAAGCTGAGGCTCACAGAGCTTACATCGCTTTCTAAACCCAAAGCCACCTGGTCGATCTCACTACTTATTAACTCTGTGCTACAGCTGAACAAGCTGAGGCTCACAGAAGTTACATCACTTTCCGAGCCCAAAGCAGAACCTGGTTCTACCTGCCATGCACTTCACCAGCCAATTGGAGGCATAACCAGGACATATTTACATAAGTCATAAGGTTCTTTAAGGGGCGGGATAGGCCTCTTCACCCTCAGGTGGGCTGATGAGAAATCAGGTGGGAAGGCAGGGAAAGGAAAACCAACCTTTGGTCTGCTCCCTGTCCATTCTCCTCCATTCCCTTTTCCTTACCCACTGTGAGGTGAAGCCAAGAAAAATGTGTCCTAGCAGTTCCCACTGCAACCACTAGAGGTCGCCTCTTCTTGGAAGGCGCCTCGTTCAGGAATACCGACATCTAGGAATTGACTTTACAGAAATAATTTGGGATAGTCTCAAAGAATTTGCCTCAAAGATGACAGTTCTAGCTTTGTTCATAACAGAAGTCCAATGGACTTCCCTAGTCCATCTAATGCTCAGGATTGGTTAAATTATGGTAACCAATCTTTTGATGAAAACATTTACTTAATGTAGGGAGGTCATTCATAGTCTATTAAGTAAAACAGGTTCTAAAAACATATACAGAGTCCTATCATGGTTATAATAAAAAATAGTGTTTGTATAAAAAGTAATTAAAGACACTACTCCAAAAGGTTAACAATAATTAGATTCATCTAGGTGATAGAATTAGGAGTGATTTTTATCTTCTTTTTCCTCTTCCGTATTTTCTGAATTTTCTGTAATCAAGTGTATTACAGTTGACCTTTGAACAATGTAGAGCTTAGGAGCAGCGACCCCTACACACTCAAAAATCTGCATATAATTTTTGATTCCCCCAAAACTTAGCTACTATCGCCTACTGTTGACAAGAAGCCTTAATGATAACATAAACAGCCAATTAACAGATATTTTATGTGATATGTATTACATACTGTATTCTTACAATAAAGTAAGCTACAGAAAAAAAAAATGTATATATATATATATATTTTTTTGAGACAGGGTCTCACTCTATCACCCAGGCAGGAGTGCAGTGGCATGATCTCGGCTCACTGCAACCTCCGCCTCCCGGGTTCAAGCGATTCTTGTGTCTCAGCCTCCCAAGTAGCTGGGATTACAGGTGCAAGCCACCATGTCAGCTATTTTTTGTATTTTTAGTAGAGACAGGGTTTCACCATGTTGGCCAGGCTGATCTCGAACTGACCTCAAGTGATCTGCCCACCTCAGCCTCCCAAAGGGAGGGAGATTATAGGCATGAGCCACCATGCCTGACCAGAAATAAAATATTATTAAGAAAATCATAAGGAATGGAAAATGTATTTACTATTTATTAAGTGGAAGTGGATCATCATAAAGGTCTTTGTCCTCATTGTCTTCAAGTTGAGTAAGCTGAGGAGGAGGAGGAGGAAGAGGAGGGCTTGGTCTTGCTGTCTCAGGGTGGCAGAGTCAGAAGAAAATCCATGCATAAGTGGACCCACACAGTTCAAACCTGTGTTGTTCAAGGATCAGCTGTATTTAACAAACTGGTTATTTATGAAAGAGATCCACATCAGGGCTTCTGGAATCTGAGTACCAAGTGTGATATGAAGAGTGCCCCTTCCCATCGTGGGGCCATGAAGGAGGGTGATTTACACAAGCATGAGGCTGTCTACCGGAGGGTGATTTACACAAGCATGAGGCTCTCTTCCCAGCTCTGTCCCCCTCCTACCTTCTTGGCCAGCTGTCCACAGTTACCAGCTGGAGCCTTAGCAGTGCCAAATCCTTCTTCCGGAAATCAAAGCAGCTTTCAAGAAATAGACTTGGATCTGTAGCAAGTCTTCAGCATAAAGCCCACATTTCTTTTTTTTTTTGAGACGGAGTCTGTGTCACCCAGGCTGGAGTACGGTGGCTGTAACCTCCACCTCCCGGGTTCAAGTGATTCTCCTGCCTCAGCCTCCCGAGTAACTGGGACTACAGGCATGTGCCAACACGCCCAGCTAATTTTTTTTTTAGTAGAGACGGGGTTTGGGGTTTCACTGTATTAGCCAGGATGATCTCGATCTCCTGATCTCTTGATCCGCCTACCTCAGCCTCCCAAAATGCAGGGATTACAGGCATGAGCCACCGCGCCTGGCCATAAAGCCCACATTTCAAACACATAATTGTCTCCCCATTCTCCTCCTACCAGATTGCTTCTGTGATCAACTCAGCCTTGGACCTGTACTTCCCAGAGGGCTGTGGTGTGGACATCCTTGCTGAGCTGGGGCGCTACTACGTGACCTCGGCCTTCACCGTGGCAGTCAGCATCATTGCCAAGAAGGAGGTTCTGCTGGATCAACCTGGCAAGGAGGGTAGGTGCCAGGTGGGCAGTGGAGCCCTGTTCTCCCCTGAAGCTGGAGACAGTGGTTGGCTGAGCAGGGTCTGGTTTTAGACCCAGTGGCAGAGGATGGGGGAATCTGGAGAATGAATGGGTTCTTGCTTTAGGGAAACTTACAATCAAGTCACCCCACCCTAAGACGTTTATTTAGTATCTTTTTTTCCTAGGCGTGTTCATATTTTGTGAAGATTGAGAGCAAAACAACCTTAGAGAGAATAGATACTCTATTGACCCCATTTTACAGATGAGGAAACTGAGAGCCAAAGAGAATACAAGTGAACAGCTTAATAGCTAGTAAGAGCCTGCATTTGACCCCATGTCTGTCTCCTCTCCAAAGTACAGACTCCTACTCATCCTACTGCTTCTCATAATATAATGAAAATAATTAGTGACAGCTTACATTTGTTTGAGTCCACTTTACAGATGACAACATAGGCAGGGGGAGGCTGAGTCATTAGCCCAAGGTCACATGGCTGATAAGGGGCAGTGCTGGGATTCAAGTTCAGGTTAGGCTGACTCAGAGCTTCTGGGCCCACATCACCAACATCAGTGCTCTTCCCTGCCCTTCCAGATAGGTCAGGGACAGCAGCCTGTGAGTGACAGGTCTCAGGGACTCTCATCTTGAGGCTTTGCCCTCTGCTCTGGGACCCGGGGAGCCTCAGGACCGTGCGCTCCTCCCCAGAGAGAATTCATGTGAAGGGCGGTGGGCTCCAGGCAGAATGTCCTGTGTTCGTGTGTGGCATTCGTCTGGCTTCCTTTATAGACCTGGGGGATTGTCCCATCTGATCCAACCAAGAGACCTGGCTTCTCATTCTGGCGCATCCACTGCCCTATCATGTGCCTCTGAGCAAGTAGCTTAACCTTTTGGGGTCTTGAGTTTGGGTGGGCTGCACTTCTGCCTTTGCTGGGGCATCTAGGGGCTGAGATGCAGGCAGGGGAGTGCGTCCTGGGCAAGGTTGCTTGGCTGCAAGGGTGAGTGTTCCCAACACGGCAGTGAACCCATGTCATTGGGAGGATGACCGCTGATGGCTTGTGTTGTAGGCCCCACCTCATGGTTGAGGAATGGGCAGTCATTTTGCTTTCTTGCTGAGCCCACTGTTGTGCCAGCCCCACTACCACCCCCTCACATTGCTATTTGTGCTGCCCTGACCCCTCCTCTCCTGCAGAGGAAAATGGTTCCACCACCAAGACCGTTGTGTACCACCTTGATGAGGGCGTGTATGGGATCTTCAACTCAGTCCTGTTTGACAACATCTGCCCTACCCCCATCCTGCAGAAGGTGAGCTTACCCCATGTGGGCCTGTTTTCAGTTGTGTGTGTGTATTTCAATAACATTTGTTGTGTTTTTATCTAATTTTTAAAAAGCCAAACATATTTATTGTCCATAATAGACAGCAAGGATGACGAAGGTTATCCCACATAATCCTACCACACAGAGAAAGACTCTGAGCATTACATACTTTAAAAAATGCCTTATACTTTTTTCATGACATTGGAATCATGTTGTTTTGTAACCTGCTTTTTCCATTTATATGGGGTGTAGCTCTTTCCATGCCATTAACTGATCTTTGACAACATGATTTTTGATGACTATATAGTATTTTAACCAATCTAACTCTAGTGGTTGGACATTTGGTTTTCTCTTTTTGAGCCTTGTGAATATATGTTGAGGTTACAGCTCTGTGGTAAATTCCTGGAAGTAGAAACACTTCATATACAGTGGGTTTTTCTGTAATAACAGGGGAACAGGAATACATAAAACATTCCTCCTAGCCTGTGGAACCCAGCCCAGGGCCTCCAGCACCTTTAATGGGCATCTTTGAGAAAAGAAAGAAAACCAGACATCATTGTATCTTCCCCTCTCCATTGTGTCTTCCCATCTCTGTCTCTCTTTTTTTTTTTTAAATGGAGTCTTACTTTGTCACCCAGGCTGGAGTGCAGTGGTGCGATCTCAGCTCACTGCAACCTCCGCCTCCTGGGTTCAAGTGATTCTCCTGCCTCAGCCTCCCAAGTAGGTGGGACTACAGGCACCTGCCACCACTCCTGGCTAATTTTTGTATTTTTAGTAGAGGCGGGGTTTCAACCATGTTGTCCAGGTTGGTCTCGAACTCTTGACCTCAAATCATCCACCCACCTTGGTCTCCCAAAGTGCTGGGATTTCAGGCACGAACCACCACGCCCGGACTCTTCCCATCTCTTGATCTTTGTGCAGCCCCTCTTCCTGGAAAGAAACTTTCCTTGCATGCCTTGAAATGCCTAACTAGCACTCAATATGTTTTTCCTTCCCTTCCCATCCTATCCAGTTTTTCTTTTGCTTTTTCTTTTTTTTTGAGACAGAGTGTTGCTCTGTAGCCCAGGCTGGAGTGCAATGGTGCGATCTTGGCTCACTGCTGCCTCTGCCTCCCGGGTCCTGGTTCAAGCAATTCTCCTGCCTCAGCCTCCGAGTAGCTGGGATTACAGGCACATGCCACCATACCCAGCTAATTTTTGTATTTTCAGTAGAGATGGGGTTTCACCATGTTGGCCAGGCTGGTCTTGAACTCCTGACCTTGTGATCCACCCGCCTCGGCCTCCCAAAGTGCTGGGATTACAGGCGTGAGCCACCGTCCCCAGCTCCTATCCAGTTTTTCAAGAGTCAATCAGAGGGGTCTTGAAAATCAACTCCACTTTGTGACTCTTCCTGTCCCTTATCCCTGTGCTGGCCTAGGGAACCCCTCTCTCCCTCCCTCCCTCCCTCCTCCAGGTGCCCAGGCACCCTGGATGTGCTTGATGGAACCTCACTCCATGGTTAAATGTGGTTACATCTGCTGGTCGGAGTAGGCCTCCCCAAGGTCCTGAGGAATGCTGAGCTCTCTACTCTGACGCACTAGCATTGCCTGCATTCTTGTGGCAGCCCCCATCCTACTGCATTGAGAAGGGACCAGGCCGGCCAGGTTACAAAGCGGGCAGCCGCTGCGTCCCTGTTACTCTGGCTCTCCAGTCCCTGTCTTCCTGTTGCATGCTGGCTCTCACCCACTCCACTCCCTTCATGGGCTCCTCAGAAGAGGAGATGGTGGTCCCAGCCCACTGCCACGTCCCCCACCAGGATCTTTGCTTTGGCTGATCTCTAGTTGGCATTCCTGACTTGGGCACTGGGATGTTTGACTCTCTTTGTGGTCTGTGCTGTTTCTCCTCTGGACGATGCTGCGGTTTCTTCCTTTAGGCTCTTAACTGCTTTCCAAGTCTGGCCACATGAGCGCCTCCAGAGTGGGGCCCACAGCCTGGCGGTGGAGTCAGACATTGAATAGATGACAATACACATGATAAGTTCACTCCTGTGGTGCTGGGAGTGTGTGTAAGAGGGATTCAGCCTGGTTGGGGGTATCTGTACCTTCTTTCCCAAAGAAGGTCCCCTTACAAGTATAATAGTTTTGGCATCTTTCTTTGCATACCTGCTCTTCCTTCGTAGGGACTTTGTGTTTACACCTCGGTATAAAAAGTTGTATGAGGCCGGGCATGGTGGCTCAAGCCTGTAATCTCAGCACTTTGGGAGGCAGAGGCGGTTGGATGACCTGAGGTCAGGAGTTATGAGACCAGTCTAGCCGACATGGTGAAACCCTGTCTCAACTAAAAATACAAAAATTAGCCGGGCATGATGGCACATGCCTGTGATCCCAGCTACTTGGGAGGCTGAGGCAGAGGTTGCAGTGAGCCGAGATTGCACCATTGCACTCCAGCCTGGGTGACAGAGTAAGACTCTGTCTCAAAAAAAAAAAGAAAAAAAAAAAGAAAAAAGGTATATGAAACATAATCCTTGGCTCAGGGTATACTTCTTATCATTGCACCATGCATGTTTCTTTTTTTTTATTTTTATAAATTCAGCAAATAATTCAGTACTCTCAAAGTACTACTCTCAATATTCAAAGCACTGTGCTGAGGTCTGCAGAGGAATTGTCTGTGCTTTGGAAGTACAGTCCTGTTGGATAGAAACACGTGTGTGTGTGTGTGTGTGTGTGTGTGTGTGTGTGTGTGATTAGTATACAAGCTACAACCATGTATGAGAAAAGTAGAGAACAAATATTATTGGAGCTTTAAAAAAATATTTTAGTACTGTACATGTTTCTAAAAAATAAGGAACTTAAAAAATCACAATTCCATTATGAAATTAAAAAATGAACAGTTCCATACTGTCCCCCATCATCGGTGTTGAGCTATCCTCAACTGTCTCTTAATGGTTTTTATATTGATTTGCTGAAATCAGGAAGCAAAGAAAGTCTGCCTGGTGCATTTGGTTGCCATGTTGCTCTCTCTCTCTCTTTTTTTTTTTTTTGAGACAGTCTCGCTCTGTCACCTAGGCTAGATTTCAGTGGCGCGATCTCAGCTCACTGCAACCTCTGCCTCCTAGGTTCAAGCTTTTCTCCTGCCTCAGCCTTCTGAGTAGCTGGGATTACTGGTGTGTGCCACTATGCCTGGCTAATTTTTGTATTTTTAGTAGAGATGGGGTTTCGCCATGTTGGCCAGGCTTGTCTCGAACTCCTGACCTCAAATGATCCACCTGCCTTGGCCTCCCCAAGTGCTGGGATTACAGGCATGAGCCACTGGGCGGCGCCATATCTCTCTCTTAACCCATTGGTTTCCCCATGCTCTTTTTTTCTTTTTCTTTTTTGTGTAGATGCAATCTCCCTGTGTTGTCTAGGCGGGTTGAGAACTCCTGGCCCCGAGTGATTGTCCAGCCTCACCCTCCCAAAGTGCTGGGATTACAGGTGTTAAACCACTGTTCCTGGCCCCCACCCTCTTTTTAAATGTTTTTTGTTTTTTTTTTTTTTGGTATTTTTAAACTGAGTTGTTTTTCCTGTGGCGTTTCCTGCATTCTTGATTTTCCTGATCGGTGAATTTCCTGAATTTCCCCTTGGTGCTTTTGAACATGTTTCTCTGCCTGGTATTTTTTTTTGTTTGTTTTTTGAAATTAGGTAGATTTAGTGGTTCGAATAGCATCTCAATCAGCTTTGGAATAAAAATGCTCCATGGAAGATCTTGTCTTTGTTTTCTTTTGAGCATAATAAGCGTTATTATCATTTAACCTATGTTGCCTTCCATGCAGTCGTCACTATCTTGACTCATGCATTATCATTCTCTGGCTTTCTTTTTCAGTATAGGTTTATCACATCTAAATCTATTCCTCGAGTGTATTTATAATTTATTGTATTTGTTTTTTTGCTTTATAAAAAGGTATTTTGATGCATGTAACCTGTTTGGGCTTTTTCTCCCTTCATATCACAGTCTAAGAGCCACCCACCCTGTGCATGTCTCTAGAGTTCATTCATTTCACTGCTGTGTAGCGCTCTTTTGGTGAGTATGCTGCAGTTTATTTGTCCATTCTCCTCTCAAGGCATTTGGACTGTCTTTGGGTTTTTGCTACTGTGAATACTGCCACTGTGAATTCTTGTTCCTCTCTCTCTGATGAGTGAGCAAGGAGTGGAATGGTTGGGCACAGGGCATGTGAATGCTTGGCTTCAAGAGACAGTGCCAGTTTTCTGAAGTGTTGACTGACAATCCCACCAGCAGTGTGTAAGAGACTCAGTGGCTCTGCGTTTTCCCCAGCACGGGGTATTGCCAGACTGAAAACACTTTCTCAGTGGAATGGATGTAAAATGGTATCTCACTGTGTCTTGATTTGCATTTCCCTCATCACTAGCAAAGCTGGACATCTCTTTGTATATTTACTGGCCAAACGTGTTTCCAGGAACTTCTTCCAGGGACTTTGTAAGTTGGCATTGCCCTTCATGTCTGAATTTCTCCACTGAGTGGTCTGTACCCACTGCCCCTGCTCACTCAGCTCCCTTAGCCCTTCCAACCTCTCCAGTCAGGAACCTGTTCCATGATGCCATGGAAGATGCTCTTGAAAGTCACTTCCATGCTGCTAGCTCTTCCATGTGGCTCTTCTGTCCCAGCAGCTGGTCCTCCTCTGTTTTCATGCTCACCTCTCCTGGCTTCTGTGGCAACATCCTGGGCCTTGGCTACTCTTCTGCTGTTCTCACCTTGTCTCCTTGGCACTTCTTCTGCTCACCCTTTAAGTGTTGACTGTCTCGGGCCTCAGTCCTTGATCTTCTCTGTCTATGTGCACTTCCTAAGTAAATGCTTCCAGACTGAGGCTCTTAGTATCTTCCATACTATCCTCACTGCCACATTTCTATCTCTACCCTGGATCGCACCCCTGAGCTCCAGACTTGTACATCCAGCTACCCACTTGACATTCCTACTGGGATTTCACAGACATCTCAATTCACTTGTTCAGAACTGAACTCTTGATTTCCAACCACAACTTCTCTCGGTAAATAGCACTGCCACTAGCCAACTGCTGAAGCTAAAAACGTTGGCATTATTCTTGATTCTTGCTTTCCCTCTCCTTCCACATGCAGTCCACCTGCAATTCTTGAGTGTAGTTCCAAAATACATTTTGAATTCAGTGAATTCTTTCTCTGTCACCACCCTAATGCAAGCCACCATTGCCTCCTGCTTGAGCTACTGCAGTAACCATTAACTGGTTTTCTGGCCCCTACTCCTACCTGCTTACCACCCATTTTCCACGCTGCAGACAGAATGATCTTTTAAAATCCCAAAGACTATGCCCCTCCTCTGCTTAACACCTTCCCACTGCTCTCAGAATAAAACCTAGACTCTTTACCACAACCAGCAAGGCACCCGCCATCTTCCCAGCCACCTCTTGCCTCACTCCTGTCCCTGTTTTCAGCTCCACTTACCAGCTCCAGCCCCACTCCCCTCCTTTCTGTTTTTGTAACACCTAAGTTGTTTCTGCTCTCAGGGCCTTTGCATTCGCTCTGCCCAGAGTGCTCTTTCACTCGCCCCTGAGACAGCTGCTGTATTCTCTTTCTTATGTCTCAGCTCAGATGTCACCTCGTCAGGGAGGCCTTTCCTGACTGCCCTCTCTAAAGTAGGCTCACCTCCCTCAATCAGATAATTTTGATACCCTGCTTATTTTCTTCACAGCCCATCATAATCTGTTAATTATCATGTTTTTGTTTACTTGCCTATAGTCTGTCTGCTCCATTAGCAGGTAGGCTCTATGAGGGCAGCCACCTTGTCCAATTAGTTTCCTCTGAGTTCCCAGCACTAGACACAGTGCCTGGCACATAGTAGGTGCTCACTAAATATCTGTTGAATGAATTGTGAATGAATGAATCAATCATTCAATAAACTGTGAGACCCTTGAGGGTCTCATATCTGTTCATATCTGTTTCCCTAGTACAGAACTTGGCACACAGCAGGTTTAGTATATGTTGGAATTGAATAGTTTTTTTTTTTTTTGAGATGGAATCTCACTCTGTCACCCAAGCTGGAGTGCAGTGCTGCAATCTTGGCTCACTGCAAACTCTGCCTCCCAGGTTCAAGTGATTCTGCTGCCTCAGCTTCCTGAGTAGCTGGGATTACAGGCGCCCGCCACTACGCCTGGCTAATTTCTGTATTTTTAGTAGAGATGGCATTTCCCCATGTTGGTCAGGTTGTTCTTGAACTCTGACCTCAAGTGATCCGCCTGCCTTGGCCTCCCAAAGTGCTGGGATTACAGGAATGAGCCACCGTACCCAGCCATTGTTTCTTTCATTTCTATGTCTTTGACAAGGATAAAGCATTGTGTTTTTGTTTATTGTTTTATTTCTTTTGGTATCAATGCCTTTTTATATCCTCTGTTCACTTAATTTGGGAGGTCTTGAAGTTTTTTCTTGCACATAGAGATGAACTTGCATATGCATGTGTGCATGTATTTAATATGATGTTTGATACAAATATTTTTAACTCTATTGGTTTATTATTTTAGTTTTGTAATTCTTTGTTACTCTTTCATAGAAAGTTTGACACACTATTGTGTTTTAACTAAGTTTGCTGTAATTTTTTTTTTTTTTTGAAACGGAGTCTCACTCTGTCACCAGGCTGGAGCGCAGAGTGCAGTGGCACAATCTTGGCTCACTGCAACCTCCACCTCCTGGGTTCAAGTGATTCTCCTGCCTCAGCCTCCCGAGTAGCTGGGACTACAGGTGCCCATCACGACACCTGGCTAATTTTTTGTATTTTTAGTAGAGATGGGGTTTCACCATGTTGGCCAGGATGATCTCGATCTCTTGACCTCGTGATCCATCTGCATCGGCCTCCCGAAGGGCTGGGATTACAGGCGTGAGCCACTGCGCCCAGCCTGCTGTAATTAATTGTAAGGAAATCTGTTACTTTCTTTTGTGCTCTGCTGTTATAAATTATCTTTATTTTATATATATATATATATATATATATATATATATATATATATATTTGTCTTATAGAAATAGAATGTTTATTAGAAGAAATTTAACACAAATAGTAAAATAAAATGATTCACTAATCCCACCATTCAGAGATGACTGTTGTTAAATGTACTTTGATTTCTACTTTTTTTGGGTTTAATGACAATTTTATTTTATTTAAGACAGGGTCACACTGTGTCACCCTGGCCAGAGTGCAGTGGCACAATCACGCTCACTGTAGCCTCCACCTCCGAGGCTCAAGCCATCCTTCCCACTCCAGCTTCTGAATAGCTGGGACTACAGGCACATGCCACTATGCCTGGCTAATTTTTGTACTTTTTGTAGGGATGGGGTTTTGCCATGTCGCCCAGGCTGTCTCACACTCCTTGTTTTTGTTCAAGCAATCCTTCCATCTTGAGATTACAGGCATGAGCCACCACGCCTGACCTGATAATTTTTTTTAAAAGTTGTCTAGTCTTTTGCTAAGAATAAGCAAAACTTTTTGTTTACTAATGTCATGATTTAACCAATTTTAGCTGCTCTGATGTTAAAAGGTGTTTTCCTTAATATACTTCTAAAATATTGGAAAAAATCAGAGCTGGGTGTGGGGAGAGAACTAAGCCCAAAAGCTCTAATTTAAAATGCTGTAACATTTTGAAAGACCAATCTTGTTTTTGATTTCTACTTTTAAAAGAAGTGTCATAGTGCACTTTGTTTTTCACTTTAAAATTTTAAATATTGTGAGCATATGGTTTTCTTTAAATACTGAGGTGTTAGGTGGACTTTTTAATATATAAACATTTTAAATGTTCATTGAGTGCTCTAAAATGATACATATTTAGTGTGTGTATTAGTTTGTTCTCACACTGCCATAAAGGAATACCTGAGAGTGGGTAATTTATAAAGGAAAGAGGTTTAATTGACACAGTTCTGCATGGCTAGGGAGGCCTCAGGAAACTTACAATCATGGCAGAAGGGGAAGCAGGCACATCTTACATGGCCACAGGAGAGCGAGGTGTGAAGGGGGAACTTCCAAACACTTTTAAAACCATCAGCTCTCATGAGAACTCCCTCACTATCATAAGAACAGCATGGATGAAACTGCCTCCCACGATCCAGTCACCTCCCAACAGGTCCCTCCCTCAATATCTGGGGATTACAATTCAAGATGAGATTTGGGTGGGGACATAAAGCCCAACCATATCAGTGTGTAAAGATGCAGTTCAAAAAATGTGTATCAGCACTTCACAAATGCAAGATATGATTGAGTATAGGGTGGAATTGAGAGGAGGCAAGTATCGTGGGAGTTTTATGAGAATCGTGGGGGGCAAAATTCAGGACAGTTACCCCAGTCCATGCAGAGAGATCCTCCTTTTATTTCTAGGATGGGGCTTTCTTACTTGCCATTCCATTTTCTAGTTTTTTATGCTTTCAAAAGTGTGAATCTGTTTGGAATGTATTGCAATAGCACTTACCAAGAGTGTACCTAGACTAAGAAAAGAGAAGACTCAAAATTATAAATGAAAGAGGAGACATTACAAGATACCACAGAAATTCAAAGGATCATAAGAGACCACTACTAGCATGAATAATTATACACCAACAAATGGATAACCTAGGCAAAATGGATAAATTCCTAGATACATATTACCTACAAAGACTCAATCATGAAGAAAGAGAAAATCTGAATAGACCAATAATGAGTTAGGAGATTGAATCAGTAATCAAAAACCTCCCAACAAAGAAAAGCCCAGGACCTGAATGGCTTTACTGGTGAATTCTACCAAACATGTAAAAAAGAATTAATACCAATCCTTCTCAAACTCTTCCACAATACTGAAGCAGAGGGAACACTTCCAAACTCATTTTACAAGGCCACAATTACCTTAACACCAAAGCCAGACAAATATACCATAAGAAAAGAAAATTACAGGCCATGTTCACATAGATGCAAAAATTCTCAACAAAATACTAGCAATCCAAATTAAATAGCACATTAAATGATCACACACCATGATCAAGTGGAATTTATCTCTGGGATGCAAAGATATTTTAATGTGTCTAAATTTATAAATGTGATATACTATAATACCACAAAGAAGTATAAAAATCAGGCCGGGCGCGGTGGCTCACGCCTGTAATCCCAGCGCTTTGGGGGCGAGGCGGGCGGATCACAAGTAGAGATCGAGACACGGTGAAACCCTCTACTAAAAATACAAAAATTAGCGGGGGTTGGGGCCTGTAGTCCCAGCTACTCGGAGGCTGAGGCAGGAGAATGGCGTGAACCAGGAGGCGAGCTTCAGTGAGCCGAGATCGCGCCACTGCACTCCAGCCTGGGCGACAGAGCGAGACTCCGTCTCAAAAAAAAAAAAAAAAAAAAAAAAAACTTAAAAAAAAAAAAAGAAGTATAAAAATCATATGATCATCTCAGTAGATGGAGACAAGCATTTGACAAAATTCAGCATCCTTTCATGATAAAAACTCTCAACAAATTAGGTACGGAAGGAATGTACCTCAATATGATAAGGGCTATATATGACAAGCTCACAGCTAATGTTATACTCAGCAAAGATTCTAAGGTCAGGAGCAGGACCAGGATGCTCACTCTCACCACTTCTATTTAGTGTAGTACTAGAAGTCCTAGCCAGAGCAATTAGGCAAGAGGAAGAAATAAAAGGCATCCAAATGGGAAAGGGAGATATAAAATTGTCTCTGTTTGCAGATAACATTATCTTATATACAGAAAACTCTAAGGCTGGACGTGGTGGCTCATGCCTGTAATCCTAGCACTTTGGAAGGCCAAGGCTGGTGGATCACTTGAGGTCAGGAGTTCAAGACCACCCTGGCTAATGAGGTGAAACTCTGTCTCTACTAAAAATACAAAATTAGCCAAGCGTGAAGGTGTGTGCCTGTAATCCTAGCTTCTCAGGAGGCTGAGGCACGAGAATTGCTTGAACCTGGGAGGCGGAGGTTGCAGTGAGTCAAGATCATGCCACTGCACTCCAGCCTGGACAACAGAGTAAGACTCCATCTCACACACACAAAGGCTGGCACAGTGGCTTACGCCTGTAATCCCAGCACTTTGGGAGGCTGAGGCAGGCAGATCACTTTAGGTCAGGAGTTCAAGACCAGCCTAGCCAACATGGTGAAACCCTGTCTCTACTAAAAATGCAAAAATTAGCTGGGCATGGTGGTGTGTGCCTGTAATTCCAGCTTTTCAGGAGGCTGAGGCACAAGAATCACTTGAGCCTGGGAGGTGGAGGCTGCAGTGAAGCGAGATGGCGCCACTGCATTCCAGCCTGGCGACAGAGCCAGACTCCATCTCAAAAAAACAAAACAAAACAAAACAAAAACACACACACACACACACACACACACACACAAAAACCTCTAAAGACTTCACTGAAAAACTATTAGACTTAAGAAGTTCAGTAAAGTTAGAAGATATAAAATTAACATATGATGTTTCTATATGCTAACTATCTGAAAAAGAAATCAAGAAAACTATCCCATTTACAATTGCGTCAAAAAATTACTTAGGAAATTTAAGGAGGTAAGAGATCTGTACACTGAAAACTAGAAAACATTGATGAAGGAAATAAAAAAGGATATAAATAAATGGAAAGATATCCCATGTTTGTGAATTGGAAGAATTAATACTGTTAAAATGTTCATACTACCCAAAGTGATCCATAGATTCAATGCAGTCCCTATAAAAATTCCAATGATCTTTTCCCCAGAAGTATAAAAAAATCCTAAGATTTGCATAAAACCACAGAAGATCCTAAATAGCCAAAGTATCTTGGGCAAAAAGAAGAAAGCTGGGGGCATCACATTATCTGATTTCAAAATATATACTAGAAAGCTATAGTAAGCAAAACAGCATGGTACTGGCATAAAAACGAACGTACAGACCAGTGGAATAGAACAGAGAGCCCAGAAATAAATCCATGTATTTACGGTCAATTGATCTTTAACAAACGTGCCAAGGACACACAATGGGAAAGGACAGTCTCTTCCATAAATAGTGTTAGAAAAACTAGATATCCACAT